AATACTGTCTAAACAGACCTTATAGGACGGCAATAAGACCTTGGGCTCTGGTGCCAGATTATATAGATTTGAATAATAGCATACTGGTGATTTAGACAAGTCTAGAAACTTCTCTGTGTGTCTGTTTTCTTCTTTCTGGGGTGACCCATAATATTACTTACCTCATAGAAAGTTGTGAGAGTTAAATGATATAATATGTGCAAAATTTTTAAAACACATGCATGACACACATTAAAGGGTCAACTGCATTTATTGTCCTCACTGATCTCCTAGGTTTGTCATACATTAATAGCATACTCTAATCTCCAGTGGTTTTAATAAATTTTAATTTTACCAAACATCTTGAATTGGGAGGGAAGGGAAATTTTCCTAAGTATCAGAGAAAAAAAAATCACATAGTTCAGTTTTCCTTTTAATGTCACCTTCAACCAGTACCACTAGACATATAGCAAAGGTATGTCTCTAGCTTTCATCAGGTGTCCAAGAAAGTCACAGTATGGCACAATTCCCAATGGATAGAAAAGAATGCTCAGGTCATGTTGAGTGAAATGATGAGTTCAGGGATAAATAAGTTTAATCCTAGCTTCTTTCTCACCTCACATCTTACGGGCAGTTCAGACATCTGATCCTGTGTGATTGGCTTTGGTCTACGGTATTTTCAAAGGCTCTGCAGCTTTTCAAAACATGGCTTTGTTTAATCTAATCAGCTAGGGGAGCACAGTCGCAGGCAGATCAGCACAACCAGAGGTCACGCTCTACCCACAGCAAAACACAAGCAGCCTGCCAGTTGTGTTTCTACCACTTCCTAAGTTCTGACTGAATATTTGGTCTTGACTTTTTAAAATGGACTGAGATTAGCTTAGGAATCACATTGGAGTTTTTCATAGAGGAGATATTCACTTAGCACATTTTATAATTAACCACTATAAAAAAAAACCTTTGGCATATTAGCAAATTACAGATTTCATTAATCTAAATAAAATCAAATTGTTCCCCCTAGTGTATTACAAGCTGGCTGCGCATCAACAAAATTATTGTTTTTACCCACCATGTGTGCAGCAGGTGAAATCTTTATTATTGCAAGTCTATAATAAAAATTTGACAAGTTAAAAACCTAAACTCAAAATGTAAACTTACATCAACTTAAAAAATTTCTGCAGTGCACATTTGGATTATAAAATGGCTGTAAACACATTCCTGTCTCCACCCAACACGCATGGATGGGGGCTGTGTTTTTGATGGTTTAAGTATATTTCTCAAATTTTCTAACACTTTAGTCAATGTTCCCATGAACATAAGACAGTGAAGAGGAAGGCAACTTATTAATGCCTATGCGGTCCATACTAATCAACACCAACCTTCTGGAAGCCTGTACTGGCATCAGCTGACTACGTACCTCCAAAGCTAGTTGGTACTGTTGTTGTTTTTAAGAATTACCAAGAAAAGGGAAGAGTACCAGTTAAAGTGTGGTACCCAGAAAAAGGGGCAACTCTTCCAAATTGTTCATTTAATCTATGACATGCTAATAGAAGCAATTTAGCATTCAGGATAGAAATGATGCAAGAATGGACTTCAGTTTTGTCTCTGTTTATATTAAGCGGCAATCCTCCACATAAGAATTTTCTAAATGGACAAGATAAAGAGCTAAAATTTACTTTAAAATTTACTTTATTCATGCATAAAATGAACCAGATTTTATATTTGAAACCACTATGTTCAGAAAGAGTAAGAAGTCATACACTCTGACGAGAATTTGTGTTAGTGAACATGCTATTCTTCATCAAATGTATCATTTTACCGCTTACAGAAAAAGGATAAAGTAGAAAATGTAAGGGAACAGCCTGGAAATTTTCTCCCAGCTTGTGTTTTGAGTGCAATAACACATTTACAATATCTGTTTGTGTGATGAAACCGCACACTTTGGAGTGAGGTTCAAAAAGATTCAAAACATTAAAAAACAGGTTTTACAATGTTATTTTAATCACCACACCATATACATACATATATATATGTGTGTATGTGTGTTCTAAATCTGGAAAGTAGCAAGTATTTAATAAAAAGAAAGGAAAGAAACTGTGTGAAAGAATAGAGTAGAATTAGAATCCAGAGCACAGTTAGCACAGGCAGGGCTGAGGCAAGGCTAGCAGCTTCATGCAATAACCCAAAAATAAAAGCACTGGAAACAGATCAGGGACAAGACTCCAATAATATACAGCGGATTTAGAAATCTATTGTGAGGTTATCTTTTCTAAAAATTTAAGGCTCATACTTCATAACATATGTTTCTCATATTTAAGCAAAAAACAAAATGAAATAATGAAACAATTAGAAAACAAACTGAATGAAAGACTTCTTTGTGAAAAAAGAAAATTCAAATCATATTCTCCTAAATCCAGAAATTAAATATCTCAGATTAGGCCATTTATAATATAAAAAGGGAAATTGAGTGTTTGATTGGCGAAGCAATTACAGAGAATTCTAAAGAAGTTAAACAAATGATACAACAGGGAAATTAAAGGAGACACAAGGATGTAATCATACAGCAAAGATTTAGGTTTGATTTTGCATGTGGAAGCCCACATCTCTCCTATAATCTTCTCTTGTATAACCAAGTTCATTAATGTTGTACTATTAAGGTCAGTTCTTCTTGTATATATGAATATAGTTTTAATATAACGTTTGCTCTTACCAGTGCCTGGTTTCCCAGCTTTCAGACTATTCTATCTGCCTGTGTAATCCCAGGTCCTGGCTGAGAACTCTGGAAGGCTGGGAAAGGTGACAGTAAAATCTCCTCTTTCCAGTCTGCAAGGCTTGCTAGTCAATGCAGCCCTGAAGAAATTACATTTATGGTGTTTCCCTTAGAGTGAAAACCTTCTGAAGCTATCAGTGTGAGAAAACAGCTACATAGGAGAGCAGGACACGGGGAAGAAATAGCCTTTCTTTAAGGCATGAAGACTAGAATTTATGGTTAGTGATTCTGGGGATGAGTAACATCAGACTTCAGCTCAGTTGCTACTGTATTCCCCATCATTTCCCCTCCCATGCTGACACAGCAGTCTTCTGTTTTCCCAGGGATTCAGAGCCTTTCTTATGGAACTTCTCTTGGGCTGAACAGTGGTGATTAATTACTGGTGCACTTCTTAAATCTCCTCTGTTTAATTGCAATCCTCGCGTGTAACTGGGCTAATTTATCTGCCACTGCAAAATCAGAATGTGGCCTTGAACAGCTCTCTTATTTCACTGATGCAATCATGCATATACTTGGATATGTAGAGATATTTAGTGAATATTGATTAAAGTTCTATATTTGGCTGTATGTTTATCAGTTAGTTTCACAGACATGAGTGAGAGACATGTGAAGACATAATCCCCACTCTGAAGCTCAAAAAGCTTGTGTTTTAAAAACACCCTCAGGCATATCAGCACAGGAGGACACCACGCCTCCTTACTCATCCACCATAGAGGGAAAAAACAGAGTCCCCAAGTGTTCAAATCACTTGGTGAGATAACAGAGGACATAGAGATGAAGCTAGGACTTTATCTCAGATCTTTGGCTCCTGAGACAAAAGATGCTCATTAAAATGCTAGAATGAATTATCATTAGAGATGCTGTTTGATGGTTATTTGCATTAAGCTTTTATACATGGGATTATTGCTTAGATGATAAGAAGAGCAGAAGTTATGAACATTAATGTCATGATTAAAACTTAAGAGTAGAAATTTTACTACTTAATTCTGCTGCACAGCTGCAGTATTCAGACTCACAAGTGATACCTTTAATTATCAGTTGCTTTGATTCTTCAAAGAAATTTAGCAATTAGAAAAATTGACACCTGTGAGAATATTCTCTGCCTACTAGGAATATAAAATGGAAGCTTTAATTTCCATTTAGAAGCTATAGTTTTAGCTTTAAAAATGCAATCCCTTTTATAAAAACAGAAAAATATCTAGAAACCAAATATAATAATGATCACATCATATTTTGCTCCTTGAGAGATGATGTTAAGAGGTGATGCACAAGTTAAGAAAGCAAATGAAATTTTTATTTAAATAAAAACCAACCAGAAACAGAAGTGTATGTGTATATAAATAAAATATGTACTACTTTTACACTACCAAGCTTGCTCCCTAAAAGAATTCTATCCAAATACGCAGTCTTGTTCCTATATTTCTGATAGAAAAACTCAAGTTTAGAGAGTTTAAATAATTACACTGATGTGACACAGGAAGAAAGTACTTGTGCAAAAATTGAACAAGGATGTGTCTAATTCTAACATCTATTTCCAAGTACGAAGACAATTTCCCATTTACTGGTCAATGATTAGGAAGCCCATATTCCTTACCGAGGGATTATTGAGGGATTTTAGCAGTTATTCCTTATTGAGGAATTTTAGCAGTTAATTCAGTGCTAAATTTATACTTGCAGGATTTAGATTTGTTGCTTCTAACAGACAAACTTGGTAAGTAACATTTTTAAGGTAAACTGCGTTGTCAGCTTAGTTTCATTTGCTTTGCTATTGAGAAGATAGGAATATTTATTATAGGTTGCTGATTACTTTTGACAGGAGCCTACTATTGTCATTCACAATGGACCAAAACATAGTAAATTTCTGTGCAAACTGATTAGCCCTGGATGAGTCAGTACCGTCTTGAATAACTTCAAAAAGGGACAGCTCCGCATTCCATAGACGACTGTGACAAATCTTGTCCAGGAGTCATTTAGGGATGCTTAAAAAGACAGGAAGAAGACAGCAGCAGTAGTGAATTTCTTAATAATGCTTTAAATGACACTGTCAGAAGGAAACGTCTACTGTGCTGCTGACTTTGTCTTCCTTTTCCCGTATTAGTTAACCCTACAAGTGAAAATATAAACAGCTTTAATCCTCAATGGGTACATCTGAACCAGAAGAAATCTGGAATTAATTGCCAAGTATTTTGGTTCCTGTTGCAGCTGTTACAAGTGTTTGATTTGGCGAGGGAAGAAAAAAGGCCCTGCATACCAATTTCGTGAGCCACAGTGAAAGCTGCGTGGAGACCATCATCCTCAATCACCGCACAGCTGCGCTCCGGAGAACATATGGTCCCAACGTCTGCCATTCCCAGGGTGTCACATGAATGATGCCCACATAAATCCTGTCCCGGGAGAAAGAAAGAAATCATTAAAATCAATTTGCATCCAGAAGGAGCCACCATGTAGAGCCACTTGCTCAGCCCAAATGGCAAGACCGGGATATGTTTATGGTATCACCTGCTCAGCTCTGGAAATGTTCCAGAGGCAAAATGAAGGCAGCCACTCTTCTGATCTACTCTGGGACCCAGAGACATAGGAAGAAAAAGAATTCAATTACACTTGAAAAGATGTGCTAGGATTATAGCTTGTCCATTTCAATCACTGAAGCAGCCCTAACAAAGCTGTAATGCGTATTTGTGTGTCAAGGATAACTTTCACATATGGTCGTGTTTAGGAAGGGCCTACTATGCTAAATTTACCAGTAGACTGGTCTCAGGGGCAAGCTACAAGCATGTATTTGTGACAGGATATAAACTTATCAGTAATTCTAATCCATATTAATTCTTAAAAGATCATCTCTTTAATTTTTAAATTGAGTTATAATTTCATAGATTATGACTTTGGAAGTTTATGCATTCTGATTTATCACATCTAACAGTGTTCTCAGCATTATCAGTTCTCAAAAATACATGTAATGAAGGTGTCTGTGTGTACACAAGTACGTGCGTATTTAATAATACATTGAGTAGCTTTTAAGAGATTCTCAAAAGGGAAAAGATCAGACCTCACTAATATTTAAAAGTTATTGATTGAGATCAGAGGAAAAATAAAGACATCAAAAGTATGAAGCTTAAAAAGAAAATACAAGCCATGCCTTTTGATGATAAATATGTAAAGATAAACTTTCCTTTAAGTGCTATTTGAATATTAATGGAATTAGAATCTCTTGTATTTATCTGTTTATTTTTAACAAAAATTAATTAACAGCTTGTATATGTATATCCAAAAAAAGAAAGGCAGTATTTCTAAAATCCATAAATCAATAAAGGCAGAAAGAATGTTTTCAAAACATTAATTATTGGTTGAAATAGTAAGTATTGTTTCAGTTATGGCTGTCATCTTTGTATCCAAAACTACCCTCAACGCTGCTCTTGAAAACCCAAAAAACATTTGCTTAACTGAGTCAAACAGTAATATACAGTGAACTCAGGGTAATTCTTGCACAGCTTTAGCAAACTCCTTGCTGGGAGGACTTCAGCAGCCTCAGGCAGTCACTGTACAAAAGCTGGCATCACTCTACAACCAATGTCACAGGCTCAGTGCCAAAATGCTTTCTTCCCCTATTTTGTGATAAATATTTAACTATGATGAAGAATATTTGAAAGATATGCGCTATTCTATTCCCTACATTTCCATGTCTTTATTGTGTTCTGTAAACTAGGAGTTTCTACCCATGATGAACGACACTGTGATCCTCATGTTATTGTGGCTTCAGACAGTGGCAATCTCAACCAAACGGCTCTGGTGGATCAAGGCACCAAATCAACAATAGTCCTCTCCAATTTGCTGTGTATCCTCCTATGTCATCCCATGGGATCCCAAATTACAGCTGTTGAGAACAAATTAGTAGTTTTTAAAATTGAATTTGGAGCACACTTTTGCATAATAGCCTTTGACATAATAATATACTGTAATACATTTTTTGAATCCTGCCCCTTCCCCACCATCATTTTAGTAGTTCTTGGGTTAAATACCAGGTCATAGTTTAAACAAGTTGCCAGACACCGAGGGTTACTTGTATACACACACTTTTTTTTAAAACCAAGATTTATGCTTATCTTCAGAATTGTGCTTTCATTCCCTTCAAATAATAAGATTCCAGAATTAAGTTTTCCTTTTTACTCCTTACGTTAGCAGCAAGCCTGGCCGAGGAGTCACAGCAAAGGGAAATGGCCTTTCGGTTCTGAATGCAGTTTCACGTAGAATCTTCATCTCTGTTTACTGCTAATCAATTGCTCATTAGTGGCCATCAGCCCTCCTTGTCATCTGTGAATTGCAGTAAATGCACTTGGCCTTTTGCCATGGAAATGTGTGCGTGTGACAAAATTATGAACAGAGGCGCTAGTTCTTTTTTTCACCACACTGATTAAGCCTCCTGACTATACAGCTCCATTATTATATTTCCGTAGCTGTAATTATATACTGGCAACCTTTCCACCTCCCACAAGCAATTTCAAAGCTTGACAGTACAGTTACGTTTGTACCCTCACAACTTACAATGAATATCTGGATTTTTTTGTAATCCAATGTTGATCTCAATCAACTTGTTAAGTGTGCCTGCACACACGAATATGCTGTGTATCATATTGAGATGACTTGTGTATCAACTTGTTAAGAATACAGCATACATTTCCATCTCTGTTTTCTCAGGGAGATTTATCATGAAACTTACAGATGTAATCCTTATAGGAATTATTTTTAATTAAAGTGGAGGGCTAAGTGTGCTATTGTGACAAAATTATCTACCTGGAAGGTTAATTGTATACAGTATCCATGTAAGAAGTAAACAAATTGAAAGTGCTGACAAATGATTTTCTGTTTATTACATAGGGATGTGAAGGTAAGTGACATTTTTTGTCCTATCAAAGAAAGCTTCTTTCACACAGGATCATTATCTTATTGCCATACTTGGGACAGTAGCGTGATACAAAATTTAGTAAGATGGCAAAGTGTGCAGAAATCTAATTGTCATACTGTTATGTGATGTGGCCAGGGTACAGGATGGAGACATTGCATCTAACTCAAAAATATATCTAAGATGATTTGCAAACTAAAGAGACTTGACAGCGAGGTCACTAACATCCTGACCATCTACCCAGTATAAACTTCTAGATTATGAAGTTGGCAAAAGTTTCCATTTGTCGTTGAAATCCAGACTAATAACAGAACCTGAGACCTATTTGTGGAGACGTCAAATGGACCATTATATCGCTTGAGAAGGACTGCCTAGGGGACTGTGTGGTTTGGAAAATCCCAGTGTTCCGCACCGGGTGGGGAAAGTGATCCGAGCAGGCATGAATATTCAAAGGGAACAAATCACAGGAGTTGGGGGGTTTCCGGCCTTGATTGAAAGAGTGGTCTCCTGTGCAGCACAAATGTGCTGAGAAGGAGCCAGAGGAAACACAAAGACCGATAAGGGCAGATACCATCACAGCGGCAGCGGCAGGCAAAGTCAAGGAAGAACAGCTTAGACAGGAGTTACGCCACAAGATTTCTGTTTCTTGTAATTACGTTCTTCCTGTAAGAGCAAGAGTGAAGTCTAGAAAAGGGCATAAAATAACACTCGCCTGTCTTGAGGTGTCTAATGTTCTCCCTATACAATTTTCACTAAAGAGATATTAGTGATAGAAGAATTAATAATAGTGTACATATTTTAATCATAAGTGTTACACATGCTGTATATACCTACATATATACTCATGCATATTTATTCTAGGGGTCTGTTTTTTGTAATTATTTTAGCTTTGATAAGTATGCACTAATTGTACATACGAATGGATTCAGTGTGATACTTCCAAGAATCCAAACCACACTCACTGATCAAATTTCACTTCCTTTTACCCATTCCCTATATCCAAGTGGATCTGATTCTTGAGATGACATTTACTGTTCTGGCTACTTATATAGTGATCCCCAATAATGGAAGCTTTAATTTGTATTTCAGCAGAGACTATATTAATTGGAACTGTTAGGACAATCATTACAATGACCCATCTACTATCTCTACTCATGTCTCTGGACAAAACTAGGTGATCAGAATATGCAAAGCCCAGCTAAATTAGGGGTTTAGAAACATAGGTACCCCTACTGCATTTGTATAATCTGCAAGCCATTGTGGTAAATGCTGACACTATAGTAATGAAAATAAAGTTAAATACAGTAAATAAGATCTCTGTCCTTAAGAAGAAACACAGTCTAGTAAGCAGAACAGATAGTTCAAGAAGGAAGCAGCAGGTGGAGTGCTACAATGAATAGATTGCTGTAGAGTGTAGAAGAGGAGTAGATGAATGCTTCTTTAGGGAATCAATACAGCTTCTCAAAGGACTGATGATATCTTTACTGGATCTGACAGTCTGGGCTGAAAAGTATTTTAATAAAGGACTCACAGAAATATCATGGGTGGTATAAAGGTAGGCTAAGTTTCAGAAATGACAAGAAGGTTTAGGTGGACTGTAAGGGTAAGCTGGGCGGATGACCTGGACCCAGGATTACTAGAAAGGACATTTTCTCTGGTAGATGCAAGGTCAGAAGATGAGAAAGAAAAGAAGGGACAAAGCAAACTGGAGATTGAGGAGACCGAGGGTTAGTCTGGAGAATGAGAACAAAGTTGTTAGAAATGGAGAATGAAGGTAGATTGCTCTTAAAAGTTTGTCTCTATTAGGAAAGAAAAAACATTGTGAAAATTATTTAGGTGATTTGAGATGAAGTCCTCTTATTATTAGCATAAGGTATTTGGACCAGACAATCTCCAAGGCTTTGTCCCACTACACGTGTGCATCTATTAATTGGTAATATTCTAGTTTTACATAGGTGAACAAATTAAAACTCAGAAGTAGCAAGTGCTCAGGGTTCTAAGCTTGGGCAAAGTAAAGCTGAAATACAAACCTACACCCAAACATTCCAATTCCTCAATTTACTTCACCATGGTATTGCTAAATCACTACATATGTTATTCTGGACGTTAATCTTATCTTTTACATTCACAGTCTGCTTTTGATCAAGCAAATTTCTTTTTTTTTTTAAATAGTAAATGAAAACAGCCTGGTCTTCATCTCTATGGTATGTTTGGTAAAACTCAATAACTTAGAGGCAAACAAAATACTCACAATGCACTGTGAGAGATATCCAGAAAATAAGAAAATAGAAGTGACAGACAGGAAACCTGATGATGCCATTAACATACCGCTCCCTGTCATCTGCTACATCTAATCAGTCACTGTAGGTCGATGGAGTTGTATTCTCTTTTGCATTCTTTCCACTATTCCTTCTTCTGTCATCTAAGACTTCTAACTGGTCCTTTTGCCTCCCATAATGTCCCTGTGAATATGCTGTGATCAGTTAG